TAATGTGATAACTTGGTCTTCCTGGACTATCACATTATGTTGTAATCTATGGATTTCCCTTCGATGAAATTGTGGATTGTTTCAATCACTACCGCAATATTTATTATAGGAGACAATCCATTTCATTTACAAAGGCGCACAAAAGTTAACACCGTTTCCAAAAAAACCTAGCTATTTTTAGAGCAGGTCTATGTACGGAGGCAGTCCAACAATCCATTGCCTCCTAAAATCAATTAATAGAGACAAACATCTTAATGGGTCCATCTCTAAAACTAAGAACTATTTTTAGGGCAAACCTCTTAAGAGAGGCCCAAGCCCATTCCCACCCTCCAGCACCCTTGGGCCCAATATAACCGCTCAAATACTATCAAGAAACATAGCCTAGTGCCGCCTCTCCCCACTCTCATTCTCTATCAGCCCCTCCCCCTCCCCCTATCTATCTCTCCCATCTCTCTCCCCATAAAATTCCCACCAAGATGCCACTGCCGCCACTACCCTTCCTCAGGTTAACAGGTTCCTCGTGCTCTTCCCCTCTCTTCCACCTCCTTCAAGGGCGAGGCCAACCTCTGGGGCATCACACCATCATCAGCAACGAGTTCAACACCAAGCACGTTGTGGCGTCTTGGACCTTCCTCGGTGCCTCTAGCAGGTTTTGTGAATTCTTCCCATCCTCTACCTTCGACAAGGGCGAGGCTAACCTTCACAACATCACCACCATTGCGTACACTACCTAGGTCTACATGCACCTGAGTTCACTAGATCCACACGAGTCCATCTTCTCCAAAGATTCTACTGCTTAGATCGATATTGAATTCGAATCCATCTTCTTTAATTTAGAGTCGCAAGGTGAGTGCTCATTTCTTCCCTCCCTCATCCTTTCCTCTCTCGCTGTCGACGGCAAGGCATCCAGTTCCAGCGACAAACCAGAGCTTAGGGGCATTGTGTGGGTCGGCATCAACGAGCAAGCCTTAGATCCAATGCCAAGGCTTGTAGATCCAGCGAAACAGGTGGTGATGGAGCTTGAGGTCCACAAGCTCCATGGTGGTCGGTGGGCTTCTCGACAGGCTAGTGTCGGCTTCTTCCATAGGCTTAGGCTCGGTAGGCCAATACAACAGGCTCACCAAGATTTCTTTTTTTATTCTCAAAATTCATTTCTAGAGACGTCACCTCTATAAATTGTGATTTAGAGTGACCATCATCTAGAGGCAAATGAGCCTCTCTCCTATGGAAATGGTATTTGTCCGCCTTTGAAAAGGCAGTTTGTACTAGTGGATACGTTGTCAACGTGCGCACGATCAAGTGAAGGTAGTGAGATTGTGTGACTCACACCTGCCTTTGGTTTGTATTTGACATTGTGATCGAATTGGGTGACAGCCATGGCAACTATGAGACTTGGTGACTCATGACACTATTTTTGGTTGGTGGAGGCCTTGTGTGGCATTCCACATCTAGTAGTGATCAGGTGGCATGGGGAGATTTTGTGACTTCAATACCTTTAGTATACGTGGACCAGGAGAGACTTGGTGACTAGGAGCGTACCAAGTAGAGCTTCAACATGGACTAGCACTACCACAAAAAAAGTTTATACCAATGGCATTTTCACCTCTGGTTTTGTTAAAACCATTGGTGAAAATATAGCACGTACCACTGGCTCTTATCCGGTGGTTTTCATGTTACTTTTGTTTTTGCAGGGTCGATTCGTCTAGAAGGATAATCGAGTTTCCGGTTTGCATCTCTATGGGTTACCGGCTCGCCGGTTCTGATCTTGTGACGGCCGAACATGTATCAAGCTTCCAGATCTAGTATTGCTGGTATTGGCAGTGCCGGATTGATTGTCTCTTGATCATCTTCGACAATGAGGTAGTCGATGTTCATTGAACGTGTTAGATACGTCCTAGGAAGTTTTCATGGTGTTGGATCATGTTGTGTTTCTAAGTTTTGATGCCTTTTATGCTCCTTTGACTATTGTCGGCATTATTGAGTTCCAACGGTTGGAATTTATAAATAGTTGTCAACATGGTTCGGAGGTGAAGATCAATTTAGGAGCCCTAGATATACTTTAGCGTATTTTTTTTTGCATCCAGAGAGCTACATGTAAACATGGATGTAACTGTGCTATTTTATTAATAGAATTGCTTCCCCTCGCAAAAAAAAAAACTTGGCGTCTACTACGCATGAGCCTAGTGAGCATTATTTAAAAAAACAAGTAGAATATATATATTCTAGTAGCGCTCAACGAAATTGCTCGTGTCATGTTGCTTTGTTTGCTTGCATTCTTTTTGGTCTTTCATGTAGAAATATGGGGCAAACCACAAACCAGAATATAATAATCTAGAGCCCAGAGGTTTGGACTCCCCATGAAGGAAACTAACATTTCCAAGAAAACGAACAAAAGCACATCCATGGCTCATTCTGGTGACCGACGACGTCAGATGCAACTGTGAACGAAACTGCAAACTGTTAGTTACTTCTCCTAAAGTTTACTCCATGTCCCATCGAATATTTAGACACATATATAGAGTATTAAATATAGACTAAAAAATAATTAATTATACAGTTTACGACTAATTTGTGAGACGAATCTTTTAAACCTAATTAGTCCATGATTTGACAACGTGGTGCTACAGTAATATATGTGCTAATGATAGATTAATTAGGCTTAATAAATTCGTCTCATGAGTTACTAAATTCTATAATTTATTTTTTTTCAGTATCACTATAAGATGTGATGTGACAACTCAAACCTTTACCCCTAAATTTAAATAAGGTCAAAGCATATGCATGCAGCATGAGGCATTATTTATTATATTGTACGCTAGCTCATATAGGTACTGCTCACTGTGGGTACGTAGCTATCACGAGCGAGCTTGTCACTTTACGACAGTATGAGACTGAGATTCGTGTGAATTATAAGGGTAGATTTTTATAACTAGTTTAACCATCACAGTATGAGAATGATCAATATATCCACCCAGCCCGCTCCTGAGTTTTCTGGAGCCCGGAGCCAAAATAAAACTCGAGGACTCTTGGTATAGGAAGTACTGCCAGTCACAGCTTGTAGCGACTAATGAGAGTCTATGGAGGACCTTTTTAGGACGGTTCCACAAACTCTATCGTGGAGCAGCTTCCACAAAAAACTAGAGTTTATGGAGCATCTTTTTAGGTGCTATCACAACTTCTTTCTTTTTTACTCGAACAGAGTGCGTAGAGCTAAAACCGTTTGACTAAAAAAACGTTGAGCGGAGCAGTCCCAAACACCCCTAAGTACAAAATAATAGATCGAGAAAGTCTTTAGGCCAATGAAACGATCGATAAGGAAAATTAAAAACCACAATTTAGAACAACTCATGTACGGCTATGCGGTATATTCCCTAAGGCCTTATTTAGATGTGGTCGGATTTACATCAATCCACATGTGTTAGGGTGGATTAGAGTAGAATTTGAACTAAATTCCACCACAATCCACACCAAAACATGTGGATTGAGGTGAATCAATAACATCCCAACAAAATCTAAATGTTAGATATTACAGTAAGGAAAAGGGAAAATATAGTGCTTGCTCTATCATCGTGTGGATTCCTAGGAGATCAAACAGAGTAACGAGTGCTCTGGGTGATCACTCTTATGTTTGTGCAATCAAACAGTTTGTAATCGCAGAAGAGAGAGAGAGAGAGAGAGAGTACGACGACGGCAAGCATCTGACTTTGCTCCCCGCAACCGTGCCACACTACCACGTGAACTAGCGGGTCATTAGTTCGGATAACTACCTTTACGGGAAATTCCAATTTGGACCATCACATTCAAAGCAGAAAGATACTCTAGCGGCATTGCTGCAGTGTGCAAACTGAGAAAGTTGAGAAGCACATGCCCCTCTTCTCGGATCATGACAAGAAATCGTACGTACGTGCGTATATTTTCTTTTAAGGATTTAGGATACGCATGCATCATGTTGGTGTTGGCGAATTCCCAACCAGAAATATCTTGCTGGGAGCCTGGGAACTGGCCGACATTGTACAGCACGGTAAGGACTGTGAGCAGGCACAAAAGAAAACCTAATTTGTTCGCCACCACAAGCAGCAATGGCTGGCCTGCAATTCGCTTATTCACGTGCGCGATGATGGCACGGAACAGCTCAGCAGCTTGCTCAGTCCGTCTCACTATTCTTCTCACAAACCCAGATATGCCATATATAAGGCCGTGTTTAGTTCCTCCCGTAGAGTTTACTCAATGGGTCTGTTCGCTTCTCTAAATTTTGGAGGAATTTAAATGATTTGAAGAAATACTGAGAGGAATTTGTGAGAGAAAAACAATGTTCCGGATAAAAAAATAAGTGAATCAAGCTGGATTTAAGAACACGCGGACGGAGCCTATGTCACATCAAATGTTTAACACATACATGGAGTATTAAATATAAACTAAAAAAATAATTAATTACACAGATTACAACTAATTAGAAAGACAAAATTTTAAACCTAATTAGCCCATGATTTAACAATGTGGTGCTATAATAAACATATGCTAATGATGAATTAATTAAGCTTAATAAATTCATTTCGCAGATTACTGAGGACTTCTATAATTTGTTTTATTATTACTATCGAACACTTCTATGTGACACCCCGATGTGACGCCTGATATGACCTCCCTAAACTTTACTCCTGGATTTAAACGAGCCCTAAGTCATACAAAGTGCTCTACAAAAGGTACTGTAACAAACTAGTACTGAATACTGATCGAAGCAACAAGCTGTACAAAAGGTGGGGAAATCCACTGACCACCAGGTGATCTTCTCGACGGGCTTTAAAAGCAGGATTCAACCTTCGCACATGGCTCCTGCTTCACTGATCACCAGAGTGGTATTCGCGGTTCATAGACCATATTTATATCAACGAGACGTGTTTCATGCCATCCACGGCAAGGCAACCTGAGTACAGGCTGAGTCAGCACCCCCTACGGCACAACAGCACAACCAAACCTGAGAACAGGCTCAGTCAGCACCCCTACGGCGCATGGTTGCTGTAATCTCCCCTTGCGCCGCCGCTGCCACCGTCAGTCACACCATTAGGGATGCTCCCCCTATTAGGGTTTGCCGTGGTGGGGTATGGAGAGTAGGAAGTAGCAGCGCTGCCATTGCTGCTTCTCGTGCGCCCAGCTGTACTGCTCCTTGTAATTTTCGTTCGAGCTCTCCGCCCCTGAAATAGCAAATGATCAGAGGTGTCAGTGGACCAGAGCCTTACAATCTGTAGGACAAAAAATAAAATGTATTTTCTTTATGCAAGAAATACTAGTTCCAAGTTCCAACAAGAAAGTAGGTATAGTTGACACATAAATGATAGGACAATAAGACAATCATTAGCATGACCAAAATGCTGCATCTACATGAAGCTATTTCAAATACTCCATTCTCCAACTAGTAAAAACTAGATTAAATGAGCTTTGCCAAACAGGGCCCAGGGCCCAGACAGGGAAAACCAGGATGTAGTCAACCAAAGTCTACAGAAAGGGAAAGGAAATTATCCCAACCACTGCAAATGTAAACCAAAGATGAAGAGCTTCCCAAAATTAATGCAAACAAAAAAGAAGAGTGACCATCTGAGGCATGTTGACTGGTTGGGGTAGCAAGGATAAAAGTTCACATCGATAGTTGGGAACTGGTTACATGCCATGAGCCCCATTCAAAAGCTGGACAAGAGCATCAATCCTCAAACCTATTATTGTAGTGTAGGAGATGATTCTTTTGAGATGCTGACAAACTCAAGTTCTGCATGGATGGTCTTAAGGAATTTTTAAGACCTTACCTTTATAGTTGAGCATGCTAGAGGAATGTGGTTGTTTCCATCTGGGGTCAACATAAAATGTTAAGAACTTACCATGAAAATTCATATTCCCCTTCAGCATGAACACCAATTCGTACCAACCGCTTGATAAATTTGTGTCATCTCATTCCAGTACCATGAGTTCAATTAGCCTCTTGGATTGCTTTATCCATTGTCATGTCATAATGTAGATTTGCACCAAAAATCAAGTACGGAATACATAATCCAAAAGGTAACAGAGGCGTGCAAAGGTTTCCTCGGGCCAGACAGACATTGGTCCTCGAGTGCAAAGGCAGAAGGGAGCTTGACTGCAAGACTCACCCGTCGAGCAGAGATGAATAGTGAAGCCTGAACTACCATGAACAAAATTGAATCAGGTGCCCAAACTTCTGATTACAAATAGATCTGACAGTGATCATAATTTTAGCTGAGCACAGAAACGTACTAATATTTCAATTGAATTGCTTAATCAGTAGCCAATCTATGTAATAGGTGTGGGGTGATCACCTTGCTTTCAAAAACACCTCTTCAGTGCAAGCAAGAGGATAGCAGGCTAGCTTGTGAGAAGGAGCCCCCATGCACTTAACTTGGTCATCCACTGGACATCAGAAAACCATCTAAAGCTGAGTTGCATACTTCGATCGGTGAAGTGGCGGATAACCCTCCAAACTGGAAAGTGTCCCTCATGAACCGTGTTGGGTGGTGCTGACTGCTGTCCCCACCTATCCCATGATTGCAATGGATCTCCCCAAATTGGTGATTAGAACCAACAACAAGAGATGGAAGGTTTTCTATGGACTGCACAGGAGAAGGCAAATGGTGGCATTTGTCTTTCTCTTGGGAACAAGTGAATTGGCCACCCCAAATATAGGGGTCTTGGACTCTTGGTATTCATAACCTTAAGGTCTTGGGGTGGTCTCTTCGCATACGGTGGCTTTGGTTGGAGAAAACTGATGCTTTGCGACCATCAGCAGGTTTGCCCATTCAAGTGTTGTGCAATGTCCAAGCTTTATTCAACATGGCCATGAATTAATTGTTGGTAATGATCAATCCACCCTGTTCTGGTCAGATAGATAGACGGCAGAACAATCTCTGAATTAGACCCAAATCTCATAAAAAGGATCCCCAAAAGAACCATCAAATGGTGCACTGTGGCTCAGACTTTAGATAATGGCAGTTGTGTTGGTAATATCAAAGGGGCGCTCACGGTTCCTATCCTGAGAGAACACCTATTTATCTGGGATTTGGTGGATGGCTTGAACCTGCAGCAAGGCATAGAGGATCAACATCGATGGAGGCTTTCGAGTTCAGGCAATTATTTAGCAAATCAGCCTACAACGCCTTCTTCCTCAGGACAATCCATTTCACTCCGTGGAAGAGATCAAGAAAATTTGTAAAACTTAGACTCCTTTATGCTGTGAGTTCTTCATTTGGCTTGCCATTAATAACCGCTGCTGGACTGCAGTTCGCCTCGCTAAACGAAGGTTGCCACACCACACAGATGCCTGCCCCATTGTGACCAAGCTCAAGAATCAATCCAACACATTCTAGTCACCTGCGTCTTTGTCTGGCAAGTATGGTCCTTGATCTTTCAGAGGCCGGGTTTGATTTCCATCTCGTCACAGCCCAACGCCAGCCATTTCTCAAGCTGGTGGTGACGTGCAATCAAGTAGGTGCAAAAGGAAATCAGAAAAGGGCTCAACGCCCTTATTATTCTAGTGACCTAGGAAATTTGGAAAGACAGGAGTATTTGTATTTTCAATGGCGTAAATCCCAGTGTCATATTAGTGTTGCAGACCGCGGCAACTGGCAAACTAATCAAAATGGTGTGTCAACAAATGGCATGAAAGGATAGGTCTTAACAAAATTTTGTGGAAAAGAAAACACCCCTTCTATTTTGTGTCAGCGACCTAGTCAATGCCAAATGTAGGCACATGGCTTTCAAAAGCCAAGGTAGTATTTTTCAGCACTATTACTTAACAGCTGATCACCATCTGTAAGGGATCTTGGCTAGCAAAGCCTGAATGCCAAGATTGAAGGTACATAAGTGATTGGCATCCAAAGTAGTGGTATAAAGGGATTATCTCTTTCTTCCAGATCAATCCAGAACTTTACAGAAATTTAGGAATAAGAATGGAGTTTCGAAATATTTTAATTGGATTCACACCACATAACATACCACTCTAGAATTGAGTCTACAGCTTGATCATGATCCGCAAGAATGATTATGATGTAGCTATAACATTTCTTAGATATCAAGGGTAGTGATTTTTCCTACATGGCATAAAAACCAGTTTGTAATGATAATTCCACAGACTAAATTCTGCTCTCTTTGTTCTGAAATAGAAGTTACATTAGAAGGTGTGGTCAAACCTAAAAACTTTGACCAAGAATACACACATATTTTTAGAATTTAGTACATGGAAATGATGCTAGTAAGTCCATAAAGAAAAATTGTACCATTATTTTTTAGCAATTTTCACTCCAAAATATCTATTAAAACGAATGGAGACTGTGTAACTGTCTTAAATGACAAGTAAAAATTGGTGAGCAACCAATTGTTAACCTGTTTAAGTGTAGAAATAATTCTACATTATCACATCTTTTGATTTAAAAGGTATAAGCATCCAATTTAAATACATTGAAGTTAAATGGTTTGAAATCATGTCCCAAATGCTATCATTTTAGCTCTGAAGTTAATGTAATGGTAGAGGGGGAGGCAAACTATTTCTAGCAATTATCTAGCCACCTTGCATGTGCACAACGTAGGATTTCCAAATAGACAAAAGTATCCTACAGCTATACATAGAAGCAAGTACATAATTAGCCACATGGGCATAACACTAGAAAGAAGCTAAGGTGGATGACCCTACAAATAATAGGCTTGACTCAAATCAAGGTTCACGGTTAGAATGAAAAAAGAACAGAGCTCATTAAGCTGAACTCAACTGATTTTGTAAGTTCAAGAGCCCAATGTAGCTGCTATTTTACCTACTATTGTGCTTTACAACATATACAAAACTGAACTAACTGCCTGCTTATTTCTTTTTCGGGGCACTGACCTCAGCTCACACCTCACAGGTAATAAAATTGCAGTGAACACCTGCAACAATCATCCCCACAAGAGCATTTGTTCTGCCAACAATAAAATTCTTGGACACAGCAGACGACACAGCAGACGCAGAATCCATTTAATAATTCCTTGAAAAGTCCAATCGCCCCCTCTCTTTCGGACTCAGTTCAACGGCATAAACATACGAACGCTAGGAGCAAAAGGGACTAAATATGAGGCAGCCGAGATCCAAAGGGACGGGACTGGCAACGGTGGTGGATTGATTTACCTTGCCCATGCATTTCTCGAGGTGCGGGGCGAAGCGGCCGGCGACGACAGGGCGACCGCAGTTCATACACTCGACGACATCGGCGGCGATGACGGGGTGCGTCTGGCCGAACACGTCGACCCCGCCCTTGCTCCCGCCCTCCTCGGCGGCCCCGCCTCCACCGGGGTGGTGGTGGTGGTCGCCTCCGGCGGCGGCGGCAGCCGCCGCACGTGCCGCCCAGACGCGGAGCTCCTCCTCCTCGGCGTCGACGCTGCGGTCCAGGCCGAGGCGCGCGATGCGGTGGCACTCCGACGCGACGTCCGCCACGGCGCAGTCGAGGAGCTCCTCGAAGCAACTGAGCGCCAGCTGCCGGCGCCGGGAGGTTTACCGGTCAGATCGCGGATCGAGAGAAATTGGGAGTGAGATCGTGAGAGGGAGGAGGGGAGGCGTACCTGGGATCTAGGGCTCAGGGGAGCGTCCTTGGACGACGACATGCCGCCTTTCGTTTCGTGCTTCCGGCCGGTTTCTGACGTACGGTCCACTACTCCGTGCTCGGCTGCAGACGCACAGGGGACACTCATTCAGGGTACGTTTGCATAGGGCCGGGCTGGTAGGGCCCAATAGCCATAGTGGCAGACTGTGCATAGGTCATGGCCCATGCTACCCACAAGACCCAGCCCATTCTGGCGTAGCCTAGCCCAGGAGAGCGAGCTCTCCTTACCTGCCCCTTACGCCCTAGCGCTCGACCCCGACGCTGCACGACTCGTCGATCCGCCTCCCGCACGCACGAGCACTGAGCCGTCGACGACGTAGGGCGAAGGAGCGCCGCCGCTTGCTGGTCGCCGGCGACGAACCTATGCTTCACCGGTTGGGCCGAATTAACAGGGAGCGGGTCTTCATAGCCCAGCCCAAAAACAGCAGTATCCCTAGGTTCAGCCCCCGCCGCGCTCGCGTCCCGTCCCTGACTCGAGCGGCCGCCGCGCTCGCGAGTCGCCCCGCGCCCCCGTCCCCGTCCTCGCGTCGCGAGTTTCGACTGGCCCCGGCCCCCCGCCCTCCGCGGCCGGTTTCGCCGCTACGCCTGGCGCCCTCCGCCGGCCAGCTGCCCGCTTGCTCGGCGCCGGTGCGCCCCAGCCTCAACCCTTCGGAGTCCGGCCTGACGGCCTCCGCGTCTCCTCATTTGGGCGGCGTCCAGCGGCCACAGCCAGCCGCCCAGCGGGCAGCGGCCAGGCGGTCAGCTCCTCACTCTCCTGTCTCCTTAGTGAGGTACTGAGGTTGTATTAGTGATTCAGACATTCAGTGATTTCATTTTGCAATATTTCATATGTAGGGAAACTGTTGTATGTATACAGAGATGGAATCCTCATAGGGTTGTAGTTTGTTTTGTTATACATTGTGTGTCCCACAAAGAGGACGAGTTCTTTATCTATTTTGATTTCTAGACGAAGATTTTACCTGTTTCATCAAAAATAATGCTTTCACCTGTCTCATAATTTTAGTAACCTTGTATAAATGCATTCGTTCTGAATCCCTATACAGCTAATATAGTACATACATTCATATTGTTATATTAACTTGCTAATATGAACACGGTCAGATGGATTGTATACTTGCTCATCTTGTTTAACTGATGGAAACCTTATACTGTCTATGGCTAGTATGATTTCTAGCCTTCTATTATTTAGAGCCCCCCCTGGTCTGTTTCTGGATCCTCCACTGTGGCCAGCGATTGCATTTGCAAGATAATTTACTGCTTTTAGAATATGAATTATTATTTTTATTAAAAATTGTAAAAGGTATCTGCGTATACCTGTATCTGTCGATACCGATACATGTATCCATATCTAGCTGTCGTTGCTTCTGTGCACAAGAAATATTTTTCTTTCGTGTGCTCTACCGCCGGATTAGATTGCCATGCTATGCCAATCACTCGCATCGCCTGCTAATCCTCCTATTGTGTACATAGTCGTGTTGCTTATCTATTGTTCGACATCTGCGTGCATGATGAAAGGGAAAGTCTGCCTTGGGTTATTGATTCTTTGAGGCTGTAGTCTTCCTTGTCTTCAGGGGTGTATATTTTCTCCTTTTTAATCTGTAAACTTTGGCACTTATGGTTTCTTGCTTTCTTCTAAAATAACCATCCATTTTATGGCTTCCAAAAAAGAAAGATGTTATACACCATTCTTATATCATTAGGTACTCGTTGAATCTGATTTGTCTCGTTGGTTGCTGATTCCGTACTACAGATGAGTATTGACTGATTGTTTGATCATACTACTGCCTCTGAACAAATAACCTATTTCAGGGCAATACATTCGTATTATGAAAAAAAATGGAAATTTCAAGTGTTCATCATTAGCCAAATAATGTACTTGAAGCTCATAATTTGTTCTGTTTCATGTTAGCGTTGACACTGCCCCGCCCCTGTTTTGGTTTTGAAACAGGCTTCTGGATGGAGCTGGTACCATGCCACTATTTAATTAAAAAAAGAAACACTTATCAGAGATTATATGTGCTTTGATCAGCAATTAATAGAAAAAGGCTTAAACTCATTGTGGATCCAATTTTATCTTAATGCTAGTTGCTCCAATTATTTATTTGTTTGGTTTAATTGGGAGATTATGCATGTCTATAGCTTCTGCTCTCAGGTTAGGGTTGTTGAATTGGAGTGAATATGTGTGGTACTGTGGACTGTGGAGGATAGCTGAGCATGCTTTCACTATATTTGAATTTCAATTTTATCATTTGCCAAAAGTGTCGGTTTCCTTGTTTTGTTTTTTTTTTTCTCAAAAAACGCAGGAGAGCTGTGCATCATTATATTAAAAGAAGTGAACAAAGGGAAAGAACCCATACAACACACCCCAGGCCAGCCAAAAGGCAAGCCCACACACTCGCACCAACTCACGCCAACTCACACAAAACTCCCCCAAACTCTCTGGTCCTTAGGATATAAGCGTGCCCGTGTCTGTTTCAAAGGGCGACCAACAGCAGCACTAGGATCTTAACTTTCTGAATGGGGGGCAGTCAGGAGGGAAATTCCTCGAGCCCCAGCCAACGACCATAGTTTTCGCTCTTCTTCAGCAACGATCAGAGTTCTTGCAATATCAGGGGCTGCTCCATCAAAAACACACCTGTTGTGATGAGTCCATACAGTCCATGCTCCAAGAATTATGAGAGAATTGATTCCTTGCATTGGTATGTCACTAGTAGCACTACTCACTCTATCCCACCAATCTAGAAAAGAGAGTTCAGTGGGCTGAGGGGAGAGGGATGCAGGCCAACTTGTGACAGGAAACGGAACCAGAACTCTGTTGTGAAGACACAACCAATGAGGAGATGATCAATGGTTTCGGCAGCTTGGTCACACAATGGACAGCGCTCAGGATGAGGGAGACCCTGGCGAGCTAAACGATCCGCTGTCCAACATCTATTATGAGCAACCAACCACAGAAAGAAACGACATTTGGACGGTGCCCAAGTCTTCCAAAAATTTTCCCATGGCCCGAAAAGAATAGATCCCAAAAATAGGCCCTCATAAACTGATTTAGCAGAATATTGACCATTTGAAACAAGTCGCAATACGTGCCTATCTTCCATTTCAGGCTGCAGCTCAAAGTCAGATAAGAGGTCCCATAGGAGGAGATACTTGAATCTTTTATTGGCAATTGGAATCTCTGTCTGTAACACACCTTTTTTTCCAGGTAAAATAACTCTAAATTTGTGCACCTTCTTCAGGTGAAAACATGGATTACAACCTCGGTGGCACCTCCCCCGATCCCTACGGTGGCGGTGGTGGAAGCATCCACCTAGTGTGTGATCATTGCGGCACTAGTGACAACTACAACACCGACGACGCTGATGATGGCCAATTCACGTGCCGTACGTGCCCTGCTGTGCACACCACACAGGCAACTGCTGCTGACCCTCATGATTTCCCTGTCACTGGCAACATCTCTGTCCGCCGTGTTGCCACCCAGCCCCCTACCCAAGGACCCCTCAGGTTGCTCCCGTGCCTGCTGCTGCCGCTTTTGACGACTTCATGGAGCTGAGTGAGCCACGGGACTTTGCTCCTGGATCTGGAACATGGGGGGAGCCCGAGGATTTGGCAGTGAGGGTCCGCTGGCGCTATGTACGGGGTCTCCAGGTGATCCTGCAGCGGCAGCTGGAGGTGCTGGTGGAGCGGCACCAGGTTGGCGCGTTTGTGTGTGCTGTCGCCGGCATTGTCTGGGTGCGGTTGGTTGCTGCATCCAGGGTGTTTGACGGAATCTGGACACGCCAGGTGCTCGAGGACCACAAGGCCACGGGGAGAAAGAATTGTTCTGGCAGCGGAGGTGAGCCGTTATGCTAGCCCTTGTTAGTCATTGCCATCGGAAGAACTGAACAGACTCTGACATACATCTATCTCTTGTTGCAGATAACAAGAAACCTGATGAGGTGAAGTATGAATTGGATGATGAAATGGTGCTGCAACGAAAAGACAGGCGCAAGGTGGAGTTTGCCTTTTTGCGCTCATTGAGGATGATGCTGCCAGTTTACTCAACGTTGGCTGTTTGTTTCTTGGCCTGTCATATTGCCCGTGAAACCATCCTGCCAAGCGACATTTACAGGTGGGCAATGGAGGGGAATATCCCTTATGTGGCTGCATTAACCGAAGTAGACAGGTTCCTTGGTAGCTCTTTCCAAGACTGCCCTTTGGATGGAAGGCAGCTTTTCAGGCCAGTGCGAGTTATCGGAGCATGGCAACTGGAAGCTGCAGCTGGATCCATAGCACAAAAAGCAGGCTTGAGGCTTCCTTCAGTTAACTTCTATGCAATTGCTCAACGTTGTTTGAAGGACTTGTTACTGCCTATAGATAGAATCCTCCCCCACGCACACCGAATTTATGAGTGGGCAATGCCTGCAGAATTATGGTTGTCTAGTAATCCTGCTAGAGTCCCTACACGGGTTTGTGTGATGGCTATCCTAATTGTGGCCCTACGACTTCTTTATAACATCAACAGTCAAGGGATATGGGAGGTGTGTTTGTCACATTTGATTACCTTTCTTCAAAACATCTTAGGTCCTTGATAAATGCATATGTCCTGAATTTACCTTTCTTTGCAGAAGATTTGTGAGGAAGGAAGAAACCCAAGTGAATCTCACCATGATACAAATTCATCAACTTCCAGGAAGCTTGAAGCTAGTAACAGTGAGGAGTTTGGCACAAGAGAACTGTTGTGTGCTATTGCAGCTGCCTATGATAAAATCAATACGACACATGGTAAATTTGAATTTCATTGCCTTGTCTACACATTGAGAGAATTATCTATTTCGCACTAAAACAAATCAGTCTTCCATATTTGGCACTCGAAAATTTAAACTTTCTTATGTAGCATCAAGTTGAAATTTTCTTTCGTAAATGATACTACCGTCCATTTGGGACACTAATGGTGTCAAGTGGCTGGCAAAATGACATGAACTGCCCTTCTACTATTCTCTGACAAGCGGACCTCACAGG